GTGGTAGTGATGGGAAGATTTGAACTGCGCACATTTCTTAACGCGTTGATCTCACACGAGGTCACGCATGCACCCATTGTGCCACCGATCATTTTGAACTTGGTTAAGAATCCAATTGTTGATAAGTTTTATCTTACTAAGCTCAGACCCCAAGCTATTATGACTGCTGCAGCTCCTCTTGCTCCGGAAGTCCCCAACGCTTTCGAAAACAAGTTCCCCGGCGTCCAAGTCCAAGAGGTGACACAAGAAAACCCTTCATTTGTAAAAAAAAAAGTAGTGTGTTTGTGCTGATTAATTGTTTTAAATTAAATGCATGATGGCTTCACACTGGAGACATTGGCTATATAGATGATGACGACAACGTCTTTTTTATCGAACGGATCAAGGAATTAATCAAGTACAAAGGTTTCCAAGTAAGATGGAATACTTATTAACTACTCCAGATTAATTACACTAATCCACATTGCAATGTAATTGCTTGACTAATTATGTGTGCAACATCTGAAGGTGGCTCCTGCTGAACTTGAGGCCATTCTTCTATGTCATCCCTCGGTTGAAGATGTAGCAGTAGTCCCGTAAGTTGATTTCGATGAATCAAAACAAAAGGTTTTGTTGATTCATTGGTAGAAATTTTTTGTGCAAGACGGTCTTCCTTCGTCAAACAATGGACTTTGTATACACAATGCGTCAGTAACATATTGATATGCTTTGCTATGGACTGCGTTATCTACTTACGTTATCGGCACTTTTTTGAGGCTGCCGGATGATAAGGAGGCAGGGAGATTTCAGCAGCAAGTGTTGTGATAGCGGCATGTGCAAAAGAGAATGAGGAAGAAATAATCAACTATGTGGCCTCGAACGTTGCACAATACAAGAAAGTGAGTGGTGCACTTTGTGGACACAGTACCAAAATCACCCTCCGGGAAGGTCATGAGAAGGCTTGTCAAAGAGAGCATGATAGAAAAATCAAGGCATCCAAGCTCCACTGCCTTAACTAATATTCCACAATTTAATTGCATGTCCAAATTAATAATTAATTACACATATCATGGTTTAATTAGGTCAATTGTTGTTGAGCTGTGATTAGCAAATCAAGTACTATAAAGATTATATAACTAATTTAAAACGATTAAGTCAAGCGTCATCATATAGTCACGTGGTATCACAAATTTACTCTTGTTATGAAACGTCTCTTTTCACAAGTGACTAGACACGAGAGAGGAGGGTGACCACCGACCAGGCCATGGAACAAGGAAGTCGAGGACAGTGGGGGCATAAAGCAAATGAGGTTACACTTGGTCTGCACCAGCACACGTACCTTGTTGCAGGATCACACATATTTGCTCCCCAAAGAAAAGTTCCTACTGAAAAAATGAACACATCTTGGCAACTTTCTTTTGGACGGCATGATATTATGCATGATATACAAGTAAAAATAATTTATTAAAAATGAATAATTATATTATAAACGGTATTATTTGCATGAAGTTCATCTCACTCAGTGGAATAAGGGCCAATCATACCAAAAAATAATTCACTATGAATAACTCACAAGATAAATTTAGTCAATCACTCACACAGGAGCGAAGTCACTAAGGGATTTCAGTGGTTTCGGGCCCATTCTGACTATGTTGTAAGAAATTTTTTGTTGGCCTTAAGCTTGCGGTGCTATGAGACATGAGAAATGAGATGGATTGTTCCTTATCACATTGTGGCTTTCAAATTTTAACAGTTTTGTTGTTTTATCTTTGTAGTTTAATGAAATAATAAGTTTGTAAACGGAGGTTTAAAATAGATTTTAATAATATTTCTAAAGCAACCTAATCATCTATATTTATAGACCTCCTTTTTGCCCTCCCTCCCATAGAATCCTGACTTCTCTATACATATTCGATGGAGAAAATATTTCAACAATGTTATAATTTTTTATTTTGTCCTTGAATATGAGTTCTTGAAGACTCGAAAATGAATGTGCAAAGATTATTCACTCCTGGCGGATGTACACTGGGACTAAGGTGGTTTTAGAATCATTCAGAGTTTAGAAAATATACATATGAAGGTCTTTCGAGGATCTTCCGAATGTTTGATACATACTCTTTTGCAACCAGCAAATATTTGATATGTTGACTTGTGGACAATATGATTTGGTTGACGATAACAAGTCCATCAAGTGTTCAACGAAATTCCTAAGTGAATAAATTGAAATTTTTTTTGTGCACTTCACATTCTGTTTCTATCTAAAAAACTTAAACCTTTCACAAAATTCAAATCCTAAATTCCTCACCGCTCGCACTGTAACTAGTTCCATTTGAATGAACTAATTGCCACTCTTTTTATTATTCGAATGTGTACGCGGCGTCCGTTGATTTGATATTTTGAAAACAATGAACACCAAATGGCAGTAAGTAAAGAACAACGGAGAACGTGCCCATGTGTGCCCTTCTCAGCATGAGATCTTGAAATTCGATTTAATTAATTTATCGGATTAGTTAACTAATTGTTTCCATTTGCCAACCTCAATCCACACGAACTTACTGTTTATTACACACAACTAGGTTTAGCCAAAATTAATTAATTATATCGCTTGAATGTTAAACACATGCTTGTGCAAACAAAAACAAAGCCAACTCTCACTCCCTCTCTCTCTCTCCCCCCAACCATTAGATTATTCTTACTTTCAATCCCATCCCATGTTGATTTTATGTATCTTAAACTAAATTATTAATTATGATTATTTTAAGTTAAATTATGATTAGGCCCAAGTCCTAACATGGGGTGGAGATGTACTCGATTCTTTGTGTCCGAAACACGTAAATTAAGCGATCTAGACCATTCAAGAGAGAGAAAGGGATCTGAGCCGTTTAAGTTTTTGATTCTTTGTAAAGTGGGCTAGTAAAATATACTAATAAAAAGCGTATGATTAAAATTAAGTGGTTCGGATCTTTTGATGTGCATGCTTTGAACACTGACATCTAGAGTGGATCTCGAGTCCCTAACATCAGGGCGATCTCTATATTTTTTTAGTATTAACAGTCATATTGTAAATTAGTCCAAGTTGTTAGTACAAGACACATTCCTAAGTTTACTTTCCTTAATCTAACCAAAATTCCCAATAAAAGAAGGCTTCGCATGACATTGGTAACGTCTTTTGTAGTAGATTATTATATAACCACACTCCAAGTCTCCAACCATAAAACCATGTATGGGGTGGTAAGTTTTAGTAAAATACACCATTTCAATACTATCAATACTAAAATACAAGTAAAATAATGTAGTGTGTGATTTAGATTGACCATAACAGTCAACTTCATGAAGTCATAAGTTGACACAATAAAAGTTAGGTTTTTTTTTTTAATTTAAAATGGTCATTGAAATTGGTATAATTTCTTATTTTTTTCTGTGAAATTTAAAATCGATAAAAATGGTCAATGAGATTGTCTATTGTTAATCATTTTGTGAGAAATCTTTGTTAAATTAAGGGTATTTTTGTCAAATCAACCAATTCATTTGAATGAGTAGTTTTTTTCAATCTAACAGAGACTTTTTTTATAGAATAACTAAAATAATTGACAATGAACAATCTCATTGACTACTTCTATCAATCTTAACTCTCAATAATCAAAATAAAGAGTTATGATAATTTCATAGATTTTTTTTTAAGCTAAAAAAATCTAAAAGTTATAAGTTAAGAATGCTACTCGCACTAAAGGTCATCAATTTGAGCTGCTTTTCCAGTCATGAATCAATAATAAAGAGTCTCGCTAAATCCCAAAACGAAAAAGAAAATAATAAAATAAGAGAAATGTTAAAAAGACTTGTTTAAAGTGAAATTTTTATAATTTCTTTATCATTTTACAATTTCACGTTAATTTATATGTTAATGTTATAAAATATTATGAAAAAATATGAAGTGACAGACATGAGTGGAGGGAAAAGTGTGAGACTGTGCCAAAAAGTTTAACATCTTACACAAATAATATTACATTTACATTACTATTTATTTGTAACATCTTTTTGATATGTAGCCCATTATACAATTAAACGGTAGAAATAAAATTTTTGATCTCACGCACAAAAAAAAAAAAAAAATCACACAATATAAGTGTGCGACCGAGTGAGGGAGCAAGTGGCGGTACTTCCTCTCTCTCTCTCTCTCTCTCTCCATCCTCTCTCTTTCTCTGGTCAATTTTTAGGACCAAAGATTGAAACTTTGGAAAGGGAACGGACGATTAATGCCAGCAAAAGCTTTTCCTTCTTTAATACCCCAAAAGCAATCTCCTCTGCAACCTCCCCAAATCACCATGTAAGTTTTACTGATTACAACCTCAGCTCGCAATCATTTTCCATTTTTCCACTTTTCTCCTTTTTCCCTCTGCACTTGCAGCATTTCATGGTATAAAAGTTGGGTTTTTTTGTTTTTTTTGTGCTGAATGGAATCAATATGTATGTTGTATGTTATATTTTGGAAGTTTTGGGAAACGATCAGTAGCTGCGGTTGTGGTTGTGCGGATTTTAGATTGGTATGTATTTTTGGGGAAACAAGAGAGCAATTATGAGGATCGAAGCTGCTGGAATTTCTAATTTTGGAATTATCAGTTTTAGATTTTTATTTCTTTCTTTCTCCCTGTATTAATCTGTTTCCAATAATAAGAGGTCCAACTTTATTGGGAACTGAAATTTTATTTTTTAATTTCTCATATGTATTGTACTGGAAAATTATTGAGCTTCTTTGGTAATATGCCTAAAAGCAATTTCTTTGGGGGGGGTCTGGTTCCAGATTTTTTATAATTAAAATATAAAAAAATATTGGGTATTTAGTAAACAAGATTTTAGGAAAAACAAAAAGAATTAATCTTTCTTTTTGGGATTAAAACCCCATTTGATTAAGATATTGAGCTGCTTAGTTTGATGGGTGATCATGGTTGTTGACTGGTGCCAATTTCTTGGTGACCAGAAAGGAAGAGGCTTTGAGCTTTTACTTTTTATATTTTTGATACTATTGACATTAGGGTAGGAGAATTCAAGTTTCGAGACCTCGGGTGCAATGGACAATGCTCTTAAGCAACTGAGCTACGAGGCCTCTGCGAGAGGCTTTGAGGTTTGTTGGAGGAATGTGTGAATTGCAGAGCAATGGAGGTTGAATTGTGAAATGTTGGTTGATAGTTGATAGGGTGTAGTAGGTGGGGCTTATTTAATGGCCAACTTTATGAGATTGTGACCGTATTGTATATATGAATGATTGAGCTAAAGGTCTGGAAAGTACGAGGTATGCATGTATAGGTGACCGTAACAAGTTACAATTGAAGAAAGAAAACAATTATTGGAAATAATTGAAGAGAGTGGGAGAGATGCAGAGGTGATGTCCATGTATAATCTTTTATAAAGGTGGGAAATTTTATATGTGGTCAGAGGATAAAAATCCCGGTTAGCATAAAATTCACCTCAAAATATTTGCAGGGGAATGGGGAACAGTTGACAAACTTACTGGAGGTTCAGGTTTTGTAGTAAGTTTGTGAATTGGTGGGGCTTGTTAAAAGTACTTGACTGAGAAGAAATGACTTGGATGTGTGGAATACAATAGGTAGAGTTCTGGATTTATGTATTCCATGTCTTTTGTCTTCGGTCGAATGGAGTAAATGGGGATGATTGCAGCTGTGTGTGGCTGTGTGCCTTAAAAATCTGGCAAAATTTATTAGCTTTAGAAGGATGGTGATTTATAGGTACTAGTTATAGCTGCGAAAATATTTACAGGGGTTGGAAAGCTGTTTATCTGCTGCGAGATACTTCTTTCGCTTATGTATTGAATTGTTTGATCTGCATTTTTTGAACTTTGTGGTTGTGCAGATCTGAGCTCAAGTAGTTCCACATTGTTCTTCAGTCTGCAAAGATTTACTATGTTTGCTTTCTTGTTTTTATAGTGTTTATTGATTAGTTAGTTGACATTGTACTGTATTGATCCTCCCATGTACTTTGCTACATATGTGCTTATATATAATTTTATCTGGTATATATGTTTGCAGCATCTGGTGACTGGGTGCTTTTGCGTTATTTGAAGACACGATTTTGGAGTAGTTTTATGAATTCGGTGCTGATGATGGAGTGGAATGAAAAACCTCCTTCACTGTGGGATTTGGAGAACCTTTTCATGTATGGTGCAAAAGTTACTGAAAATCCTAAGAAGTTGCAACCAGCAGACTGGGGAATTGAAGGGGAACGAGGAATGAATTCTGAATCTTTCTATTCGATTGGGGGTGATGGGGGTAGTGGGGTTTCTGGCTCTGATTTGGGAGATGGTTCATCAAAGAGTTCGAAATCAGCTTCTGTCAATTCTTCAGTCGAGGAAGGTAAGAAATCCAATTTCAACTTTGAGGCTTTTGAAGGTTTCCCGAAGGATTTCTTTGATAAAAAGGATTCAGCTGAAGCTGAGGCCCTTGGATCTTCTCCAACTCATGAGGTTTCGGCTGGCTCCGGCGAGCCATTGCTCAGTCTAAAGCTTGGTAAGCGGATGTACTTCGAAGACGTTTGTGCTGGAAATAATCATGAGACCTCTTCTCTTTCTATTATTTCCACATCTATGGCGACAAAGACAAAGAGGTTTAAGTCTGCTGCTCAGAGTGCATTTGCATCACACTGTCAAGTTGAAGGCTGCAATCTTGATCTTTCATCAGCCAAAGATTACCATCGCAAACATAGAATTTGTGCAAATCATTCCAAATCTCCGAAGGTTGTTGTAGATGGTGTGGAACTTCGGTTTTGTCAACAGTGTAGCAGGTAAAGCTTGGTAGAGATTCTTTGGGTGATGCAGCAACCCCACAATTACTTGTTTTCTGAATTACAATGATGTTTTGTTTCTTTAGCAGTTAAATCAGAATGAGCTTTAGTTCTTTTCTAACATAGATCTTGATATGCATAAATCCTACCAGGTTCCATGGCCTTTCTGATTTTGATGAAAACAAGCGAAGCTGTCGCAAGCGACTTTCTGATCACAATGCAAGGCGCCGCAAGCCACAGACAGAAGTAGTGAGACACCCATCAAGGCTGTCTTCATCACTGTTCAGCACAGGTACTGGACTCACTTAAATTCTTGCTATTTACCGACATACGTCAAATCGTGATGTAGACCATTTTGTTGAAATCTTAGTTTAAACAGTATGTTTCTGTTTCTTTTTTAGAGTTGTCAAGAATGCAAATAAACCAACCAGGGTTTAATTCACCCATCTAATAATTTAATCTTGCGTGTGTTCTTTGTCATTCACCCATCTAATACGATTCAAGTTATGAATTTTACTGAGAAATAAGCCAACTGCAATATTGGTCATCAGGCATGCTTTTAGATTAAAGCTAATGTTAAATACTTGAAATCATATTTGTACTGCCCCGTTGGTTATCCATTAAAGTTGAGCTGGGTAGCCTGGGTTTCTGTTCCGATGCAGATGGCATGAGCCTTTCTTTGGACCAAGGTCCCTATGATTACACAAAGCATGCTTCAAATTTAACATGGGATGGCTCGTGCAACCTCAAGTTTGCACAAACGAAAGAGTATTTTCCAAATCCTGCAAAAGCAGGAGGTACTGCCAGAGAGCTAAATTTTCCCAACAGTGGAAGTCCAGGCTCGATAAATGTGCTTTATCAGGATTCCAGTAGGCTGTCACCATCTAAGGCCACTGCGGCTGAGGTTCTTAACCGAGGTCTGTTTTACTTCAAAATGCAGACTGCCTTATGATTCATGACCAACAATCAATTTTTGTTATGATTCACTGTTTGATATTTGTTGAACCTCACAGAAAAAAAGATCTTGCTAATCCCGATTTGGATAGTGTCACATCATTGTAGGTGGTGTGTAAGTTTTAATTGGTGATGTTTGCAGGTGCTGAAGAATCTATGATCTCTTTCAACCTGGATGCAACGCAGGATATTCATCGTGCTCTCTCTCTTCTGTCAACGAGTCCTTGGGTCTCAGGCGAGGGGAAATCTGTTCCACTTGATACCAATCAAAGTTATCATAACAACTCACCTCAACAGGGGATGCATGCGATGACTCAAGGTGTGCCGGCCTCTTCAGAGTACTGGCAAACTCAGCATCCACCCCTAGATACCCAAGCACACGTCTCCCACTCACACAGTAATGTTGGCAACCAATTTCAGGATCTTCATCAGTTCAAAGCGCCGTATGCGTTTGGCTATAATCCAAACCAATTCAGTTGACTCCACCTGGAGTACTGTTCTTTCACCCGCATAACTTATCATGTTAAGGTTGGTTCCTTTAGCGGAGTTTTTTTTTTCCGCATTGCCTTTCTGATCTTACTGCTACATTTGATCCTAATGAAGTTTTGTGTTGTAGAAATTGTGAGATCCGAGTTGTGTTTTGAGTACCTTTTGGTAGAGGCTGCTGATAAAATTCTGTCATTGTCTTTCAGAAACTCGGCACTGCTTTGGTTTTTTACGGACGAAATTCCGGGGATTAGGCATTATATTATCGGTTGCGAATGCAGGAGCTGTGTATGTGTTTAATCTGGTGCTATCATATCTCCTTTGTTATGGCATGTATAATTTGACAATTTGTAGCAAATTGGTTCACTGTTACATTGCTTTACACATGCATTTTCTTTTATTTGTTGCGACTTGTACGTCAAATTGAAAGGGGATATTACACATGCCCCTCCCAAAGCTCAGATTTCTTGCAACTTTAACAGGGTGCTGTGAACCTTGAAGGAATCCGCCGGACTTTTAATTTTCCGGTGGTCACGAAACTTAAGAGATAGATCCCTTACCGAGAATACCATTCATGAGCTGCCGTCATCATTTAAATTTCGCATATATACATTTGACAACACTATCTATTCTTCTCTCTTAATAAAAACTCTTAACAAATGGAAAAACGAAACCGATTTCCGCCTGCCGATTCTTAGCGCCCAACCGCAATCACAATGCCTTGGCCGCAACTCATACCTCCATGCAACCAGGCCGCCTGCACCGCTCGTAAGGCCAGGCCAGCAACGTTCGCCTTTGAAAGGCCGCCTTCAACTGGTTGTGGGATATTGTAAACCTGAAAAAAGGGCTCGTTGCTCCCTATACACCAATGGGGAGCCAGAAGGATTGTACATATTGACGCAAAAGATTGTTTTGACCAACCACAGCTTTTACCAACAATTCTATTACCTCTACAAATTTTCAGGAGAGGATCCGACGAGGATCTTCCAATCACATCCGTTCATCGTATATCGTGCGATTAGAAATCATTGTAAATTTTTTTATTTAAAATTAAATATAAACAGTACTTGACAAAACTGACCGTACGATGTATGATGAACGAATGTGATTGAAGGATCCGGCGAGAATCCTCACTCTACAAATTTGACTAAATGAAGAAGAAAACCAAACCTTAAATTCTATTGAAATAAAATAAAAATAACTCAAGGGCCACTTTTTATCAATTTCGCATTTATTAAACTCAGTACTGAGCTAGCACGAAATCTCAAACATAGATCCCGAGACCTACCATATGAACCCCCAATTCTTTGCTGCATATGAGGTGTTTTATGTCACTCTAGACAACAAACACGGGGAAAGATGTATATCATGACACTGAACGGCCTGTCAAACAGCAAACATAATTTTAAAAAAAGGCGACAGGATTAACGGCAGCCATAAGACGTGGAACCACCATATACCAGAGCCAAAGTCCTGACAGAATTTCAACGGCCACAACGTGGAAACAAGGGAAATGGGCAACTCGAAATTGAACTATAAGCAACTGACTAAAAAAGAAACCTTTCTGACCCCAACTCTTTAACAGTAAGACAATCAAACTTGGGGGGTTCACACGCTTCTAACAGAAATACAGGTCAAACCATAGATAATTAAAAGACGGACAATTTGAGATCAAATGAAAACCAGAAACATAAGGACTACAGTAACCTTTATAGCCAACTGGTACCATATCATACGCGGTAACGTACTCACTAGAAAAGATGAACTGATTCCAAAAGCAAAGGGTCTAGCTAATAGAAACCAGAACCAACCCGTAAAACGCATGCCAGATGGTTCTGGCGGACACAAGATGCATTGTACAATCCACAAAGACCATAAATACCATAGCAGTTAATACAACAACTTGACACAGATCATGATAAAGTAGAGTAACTCGATAACCGCTGCAACACGACGACAAGACTGACTTTCAGACACCCATATTGAGCAATGCTGGATGACAACTCTGGACCTTCTCAACCCTCAATTATGTCTAGTACTCACTGGAACAGTAGACAATTATAAATTAACCGATGCACTTGGAAAATACACAAGGAAAATTAAAACAGCTAGAATCAAAATCCACTACAGTTTAGAAACAAAAATCAAGTGCAAAAGAAAAGCTTTTTAAATTGATCCATTAATAGTTCACAGCATAAGATGCATATCATGTTTGAAATGTGTATATACATCACCAAAAACAAGGATTCCAAGCAACCAATAGAAATCCAGAGAAAAATATCTAATGCAACAAACCTGATTATTTTCATTCGGAGCAGGTGAAGGGGACTTCTTTGACTCGGCTGGTTTGTCCGCTCCACAGTTCTGTCTGTTACACTTGGTTCTAAATGGATAGTTTATATTATTACATTTCTCACACTTCCAGCTACCTTCTGGCATTTTTTGTTCTGTAAACAAAAATAGTTATTGACGTTAAAAAAGAGGACAACAAAGTTAATAGAGTCAAGAACAATGAAAGGAGAAAGGAATTAATTCGGTGAGAACAAGGCCTGGGATGACTTACTAGAAGTTTTGTCACTCTTTGCAGGCTGCTATACAAAAAGAACATTGCATGTCAAAAAAAATTGATCCCCAAGAGAAACTTATATGTAAAATATTCAGAGAAAAGAGATGCATAAATGCATGTGAGAGAGAGAGAGAGAGAGAGAGAGAGAGAGAGACCTGAGATCCAGGCTTTGGCGTATTGCACTTCCTCATGTTACAAACAGTTCTAAATGAGAAGTTGACATTTCCACATTTTGGGCATGCCCAGTCATTGTCACGTGTAGCATCTAAATGTGCAATAAAGTTGAAAACTCAATGATCATTTCTATATATATTGTTTACATGATGTCCAACAACAACAACTAGCGATTCAAAAGGAGACTAGATGACTGACCTGTGCTCTTCTTTTGGGCTTTATCATCTGGAAGGAATCCTGGCCTTGGTCCCTGCACAAGAAAATAATAAATAAATTTTACCACATCCAAGATCAAGGAATTCTGTTGCAAGTTCAACAAAAGAAAAGAAATTTTTTCTCTGAACTTTGGAAAGAAATATATAGGAAAATTTGAGAGCCCAAATAGCATCAAATGTAATTAAATGACTGAGCAAAAATTGGATTAAATTAGTAAATAGCAATAGAAAACATATATCAAGCAGATTGTTCTAGGGAACGAAGATAACTAAATGTGAAGAATGCAACAATAACAGTAGCTTTTGCACATACCATAGGGCCAGGGCCCATGGGCAGACCCAGGCCAAACCGATCCATCATAGGAGGGGGCATACCATACATTCCACCTGCAAAATTAGAAAATCAAAAGAGAAACCATAAGACACTAAATCATCAAGCAATAACAGTCTCACATGGAACTTCCATAAGCAAAGGTTACAGCAACATGGGAAAACCACAACATTGTATACGGGAAAAGAAAAACTTGCTTAAACAGCATATAAAAATCAATGTACTTAACTAATCCATTACCCAATCAAGAATCATCATAGGATAAATCAAGAAAGCGTACCATTTCCAATCATGGATCCACTAGAATATGGTGTTGGTCCAGACAAATGCAGAGGTCTGTAGGGGCTGCCTGTAGATAGGTGGCTGCCATAGTTGTAATGATATGCTGATCCCCCTGAAAATGGAACATCATAGGGAGGAACGGATGATCCATTGAAGATAGAAGAACCATAGGGTGGCACACCAAGATACATTGAGGAGGGTGCAGCAGAGCCCAGATAAGGAGCAGCAGAGCCCAGAAAACCTTGTGGGGCAGGGAAAGGCTTAGCAGTGGGTTTCTGAAATGTACAAAACTCGGATCTTAATATCTATATCTAACATGATTAACCCAACAAAGATTCCATGTCAAACGCAATTATCAAAAATATAATCAGCCCAAATATACAAGTGTTCATTATAAAATGCGAAGTTTGGCAACATAAATCCCCTTTGCCGCTTGACCTCCATCTCTCTTTTGTCTTTTAAACAAAAAAGCGAAAAGCAACGGACAAATCATGCAAAGTTTCAACAACAAAAATAGCAAACGGGATTGAGCAAGCGACTTCCAAATTTCAAATATGCATTATAAGCATCACACTCATCCAATTAACATAAGTATTTAGTGTAATCGTGCTCGGTGTCTTACTGAGTTATGATCCGCAGGCCTTGGCTGAGTGCAATTACGCATATTGCAAGTCGTTCTAAATGAAAAATTATCATTCCCACAGCTAGGGCAGGTCCAATCATCTTCCCTTCGACTACCTACAAACACCATATATACGTATAATGAACTCCGAAATCATAACACATCATACAAATTCATTAAACCCTAAAATCCACAATCAAAACTTTATGAATCAATACATGCACATTTTATACAATTACTGAAATTAAATTTTCAAAATAAAAAAACTAAAATAAAACAAAAAAATAAAATCATCTGTAGCTAATAACATACAAAAAAACGCCACTTAGTACTTCGGTGTAGTGGTATTAGAGGTATTAGATTCGAATCTCGCCAAATGCGAGTTTTAACCACATTATTGCTAGTCTATTATGAGGCTAAACTCACCCCCTCTCCCTTATTGTAAATAATATCGTTTGTTCATAAAAAATAAAATATAATAACATACAAAAGACGAATCAAAGGACCTCAATTAAAAAATGAAAAATTGAAAAAAAAAAGGGCATACCATCGGTTCTAGCACGCTTGGCTGCTGAAGAATTTCTATTATCAACCTGAACACAAAGATATCAAATTTATTCGCGCTAAAAAAAATTGTAACTTTCGTCCGGCGCGCCAAAATCCCTAATTTTGGCTTCGTCCCGGTGATTTGGAAAAATCCAAAGGCATAAATTGAAATTGAATGAAGTGGGAGGCGATTACCTGAGACATATCAACGGCGAGATATCAGATTCTGGTTCGAATATCAGAGAGGAACGCAATTTCCCTAACAGAAACAACGGTAGCGCTGGCTGTCTGGCTGGAGGACTCGACGAAGATATTGTGAGGGTTTTTCCATACGATTATGTGGATTTGAGTGGCGGGTCGATCGCAGCGCAGCGTTTCGTGTTTCCCCTCTCAGATTGCAAGTTCCGTTAGGATGGACGGTCCAGATGGAACCGAATCGAAGACTATTAGGTTTCTTTTTCTTTTTCTCAAGTGTATATGTTCACTTTATTCATGGACACTTTTAAAGACCTTGACCTAGTGTGCGTGACGCGAACAGCAACACTGTTGGCTTGGCGCCGCACATGGTGATAGTGGTTCCAGTGATCATACGCAACATATAGCCTTCACGTCCTCCACAATATGTCTACACGAGACACATTGTAAGAAAGGTCTTGCAACATTG